AAAATGTGGCACATATACGCCGTGGAATACAATGCAGCCATAAAAAAGGATGAGTTCATGTCCTTTGCAGGGACATAAATGAAGCTGGAAACCATTTTTCTCAACAAACTAACACAGGAACAGAAAACCAAACACCGCGCGTTCTCACTTATTAAGTGATAGTTGAACAATGAGAACACGTGGACATAGGGAAGGGAACATGACACACCAGGGCCTGTTGGGGGGTGGGGGGTGAGGGGAGGGATAGCATTAGGAAAAATGCCTAATGTAGATGATAGGTTGATGAGTGCAGCAAACCACCATGTCACGTGTATACCTATGTAACAAACCTACACGTTCTGCAATGTATCCCAGAACTTAAAGTGTGTGTATGTGTGTGTGTGTGTGTGTGTGTGTGTGTGTGTGTGTGTGTGTATTTATTTATTTATTTATTTATTTCCTGGTAACAGACACTCACAAATGAATTTTCTAAATATTATTCATCCAAACATTTTTGACAGCCATTAGCCAAACTTTTAATGCTTCATTTATTTACTCCCAGAAATTCCCACAAATTTAAGTCATCAGTTCCTAAACAGTTGTTTCTGGAGTTTTTATGTTCTCATTAAAATATAAAGAGGAAAAATGGTAATACAATGAAGAGCCAAATATTACAAGATATCATGTGTCTGGTCACAATCCCCTTTTATTTTATTACAATGCAAACATGGGACTCCTTTGGAAATAAAAATTCCCATTCAGAACTGAAATTGTTCTGACAAGACTCAAGCCAGCTCAGGCAAAAGAGTTACTTCCTCCATGAGATTAAAAAAAAAAAAAAAAAAAAAAAAAGAAGCTAGACCTATGCTCTAACAATATACTTTCTGGTACTTATTCCTGTGGCACTTTTGTCCACACCCAGAGGCTCTGAAGTTATTGCACCCAGAGGGAGTATTTTTATCTTTAATTATTTATCTGCAATTGATTATCTTCTAATTAATGAGTTTAATTTAAAGTAATTATTAAATACTCTTCTTTTTCCTAATTTACAAAGAATTAGAGCTGAGGATATTAAATGGTTTCAGGGTACAGGCAGGAAGTGATTTTATTGTTCTCTAGCCATTGCCTTTTAATATTCTATGATAGATTTGCTTTCTGTGCTATTTGACAATAATTTGGGCATATCTTAGATTTCCAATCACTTTCAGTTGTAAGAACACACAAGTCAATGATGATGATGATGATGATGAGAGAGAGAGAGAGGAAGAGAGCAAGAGGTGTGGGGGGGCTGGATTTTTAAAAATTCAGTCCCTATTAAACACAGGTGTCAATATTGTATCTAATTCATGGCTCTTTTTCTCACTCTCATAAGGACTAGTTTTCCTGCAAAGATAATGAATTTTAAGCTTCAGAATTCTGAACTTGGAGGGCCTCTTACAAACCCTGTAGCTAATGTTGCATTTGCATGTTTTGTGCTCTGCTTTTGAAAGAGCATTCTCCAAATTTCCCAAGGCCCTACAAAAACTGGATTCATCTCTCCCAGAAATGTAGGCCTGATCAGCGGACAGAAGGACATGTGGAAAGATGTGGAGGAGCTAATCTACTCTTTGACTCCTCCTCCTCCCTCAATCATTTCTACCCCTCACTCCTCGAGAGTTAAAGCAGAAGTGGACTTAGAAGAAATAAGCAATTGTTTCTTCACTTAACAGCAACTGTTCGTAGTTAACCCTTGACTGTAGGTACCCTCTCCAAGACACCTAAATGCTGACTTTCTCTTTAAGTAGAATTTCTTGATATGGGCACTGGTCTCCCTAGATGACCTCAGATGACTACTCGCAAATCACTCCTCCCCTGGTCCCTGGTCCTTGATGTTCACACTATATTTATTTGTAGTTCACACTACAAATTTTCTAAACTTGTACGTTTAGAAAAATGTACAAATAGTATAGTTTAATCATTGGAAAAAATCATTTACTGAACATTCTCTCTGCATGAGGTTCTATGTGAGATATTTTTCTCATATTATTTCTCAATAGCAATTTAAAACATTACTTGTGGTTAACACACACAAATGTCCACACATGCACAAATCTTTAAACATATAGCAAACAGCACACTTAATGTATCAATTGTAGGTGTAAAGAGCAGAACTAGACAAGTATGTATCCATATTGTTTAGGGATTTCACAAAGTATAGCTTTAGAAAATTTGGACAGCACAGTGAATTTCCAATTTTCCAGACAACTCATTCTCTGTGATAATGAAGGTTGGAGATTCATTTGAAGTTCATCTATTGCCAAATAATTTATCCAGAAATTTTGTTGAGAACCTACCCAGTAATTTAGACATGGACCCTTGAAGTATTGTTAACTCATTTCAAATAATTGTATCAGGAGGACTGTCTATGTGACTCACCATTCTGTCTCTAGATTTATACTCTTTGTGGCATATAGTAGGTACTCATTAAATATTTGTTGATGAAATGAATGAATAAACAAAGGACATCTTCCCCCAATCTATTATTCATCACCCAATGCAAACCTGAGACTATATCAATAAAGTAAATAGAGAGAAACTTTACATAATCTGCCAGATACGCTTTTTATTTCTTTCCAAACTTGCTATACACAAGGGTTACATATACATTTCATCTCATTCTCATCTTCCTCTGAGGTTTATGACTCCACGCAGCAGCCATGTTTATCTTCTCTCCACATGCACTAGTAGAATTCCTGGAAAAGATGCCAGAGTAAAGAAAATGCTTTCATTCGGCTATCTGTTAAGGAAGGAATCCTTTTCAAACATAAAGGAACCTCCCCATAATTATCTGCTTCTCCTATTCTTCTGTCATATGGTTTATCCCAACACAGGTAAATCAACAATAATTTCATTAAAAGTCTAAAAATCTGAACAGTTGTTCCTTCTTTGGAAATTTAATTCTTAGAGAATGTAATGAAGCAAGATAAACAAAAAATTTTGATCAGATTGAAATCTTTGAATACTGCAATGTGTCCTGGATATATCTGTAGCCTCCTCTTTATTTTTTCACCTATTATGAGAATAATAGTTCTTTTAAAGGGAACCTTTTGAAAATATATCGCTAGTACCATATATATAATATTTATGTTTTAATGCTTTACATTATAAAATGAATGTTATGTTGATATTATCATCAATATATAAACACAATTGGAAAAACAAGAAAATGAGGAAGATACTCTTCAGATTTGTAGCTTGGCATTTGTTGAGTATTGGAGCTAAGTTGCCAACCGTTTATAGACTTCTCTTTTCTCTTCATGAATTGACAAGTTTGCCCAAAGCAAGTCACATTATTACCACAGTGATTCTATGGCAGTGACTTTCCAGAGTTACTGCTCAGGACTCTCCACCTGAATTGGTGATAGGAAGCTCTAAATTCTTCTCCTCCTCTCATGATCTTTGCAGCCTTCACCACCCCATGAAAGTGCAGATTACGATCCCAGATTCTGGCCATTTGTGTATGTTCCATTGTGTTTTAATTTTATAAGCATCATGGCCAGTGGAAATTTCCTATAGGACTATACTCGTAGTCAGAAATGAAAAATGACCACTTTTTTTTGACCTTTCACTTCATTGGAGGTGCAGTCAAACTATTACCTATTTAATTCAAGTGTAAAAACAAAACCCACTAAATATTCAAGATGAAAGTTTAGAGTATGTTTTAGGATTTTTTTAACATCAATTAAATTTCTAAACGTATTAATTCTCCATTTCACTTAGCATTTGTTAGGTGAGAAAGGAGGGGCCCAAGAGAGTTTTATAATGATTAGGGCAAGAAGCATATATTGACAAGGAGAGGCTCTCTGTGTGATGAAATTTACCATCCTCAGTGAATACAATGACAGCACCATGGGCTTAATATATTTTTAAAAATTTTAAACTATGGTGTAATGTTCTTTTTTTTGAAAATATACAAGAGTGATGTAAATTGTGTTATTAGTAAACCACTTGGGATTGTGTTTTTAAGGCTTTTTATGTTTGAACCCACAAGTAGTTTGCCAAGGAGCGGTGCCCCTAATCTAACTCTCTGTAGCTAAGCAAACACATTAAGCTGAGTTTCTAATGGCATGAGCAGGATTTCCCTCACCATGATGAGTATGATTTTGAAACCAAGAAACTTTAGATTTGTCCTTTAAGAAAAGTGATTTACAGGAGAAGGTTGTGAGAGGGAAAAAGGAAACCTATTTTACCCAAAAAGGAGACAACATCCTTGCCCGAGGCAGCATTGTGACATTGCCAATGCGACAGGGTTGTGAAATACTGAGTTTTTGTTTTTGTGGTGATGTCTGAAAGTACTGGTTACTGCACTGATGTCTTGTTATCATGCATCTCTAGTTCCGGATCTACTTCCTTATAATTGCTAATGAAAACAGGGCGATGAACAAAGCAGTGGCTAGATCTTCACTGCAATTATTCTGTTGTTTGTATTAATAGATGACATCTTCTGAAAATTTCTTAATAATTATCTTTGGCGTTTAAGAAAGAAAATACAATTGTCTTTTCCCATATTTTTAAGGCTATTTAGATTTTTGTCCTATAAGCTGACTTGCCTTTATTTCTCTAACCCTAGGCATCCATTAAAAACAGTCTCTGACTATTAATGTGTATTTTGCAAGTAATCAAAATCACAGTAACTGAGGAAAATTAGGACAAGCCTAATAGTAGTCAAGCTCCAAATAGGCTTTAAAATGAAAATAGAATATGTGACTCAGAATACAGTACTAGTTCTTCATCTTACAGATGTTCTCAGCCATCAGACTCAGCGTGGGCTATGACACTGGTAAGTGTGGGTGAAATGGGTAAAATTTTGGAGAGAATGATAGGGTTTTTTTTCAGACTATTTTCCTATTACCTCATATTACTTTATGTTTTACAGAATGTACAGAAAACTTTGCCTACTCATTTCTTATTTGTCTTAATAGCAAGCTTTCAGTGAGCCTTAAATTAGTAATATAATTGCCGCCCTCTTCTAATGGCATTTTAGGTTTACACAAAACCCATCTCAGGAAACAAGTGTCTGGCTTTAGTTACTTATTAACTGAGTGGCCACCTCTTTAAACAAAATTCACTAATGATTTCTGTGATGACACATCATTCATTGGGCCAACAAGATAGAAAAGACAGCGTCTCTGACCACGGAAGGGACATGACAGAAATGCTGTCATGATATTTATATTCCACCTACTCGAAAGACCAATTGAGAAACTCCATATGGACTCCAGTTTGCCACTAGCCCACAGAATTGAAGTTTCTTAGCTGGCTTAAATTAAGAATTTTGGGTAAGTGTAAAACTTTGCATATATTTATTTTCATAATTCTAGGCAGTTTATTTTCATATAGTTCTTCTCATCCTACCCAATTCTCTTTTAGTTGACACAATAGGCAAAGGAAATACATTCTTAGAAAGCTTGTAAGAAGAGAGGGCCAGGTATTAATAGGAGAAAGTAAAAGAACATTGCCCGATAGCTCCAATCTAAGGTGCATTAGTGAGGAAAAGATATGTAAACCTAGTTTAGGACAACAAGAAAAAGAAGGTAGCCTCTGTTGACGTAGATTGGCTGATTTGAATTATCTGAAACCCCTTCCTCTCATTTCTCAACATTGGCCAAATGGCAGGTGGTACAAGTCCAGTTCCCCAGTAAGTTCCTGTAAACAAAACTACTTATTTATAGACAGCTTCTCAGTACTGTTTTTCAGGAGCTCAGTCAGAATGCAACTCAGAGTCACATCAACTGCAAAGAAAAATAAAGATATAAAATTCTGTTTTCAAAAATTTGCTTTACAACTGGAATGAGGTCCTCCGTGTATTTTGGGGGATCCTCAGCATCATGACTTGAGAACAGGTTTAAAGAAAGATAGAAATAAGCCCCATGAACTCCTGCATTGGAGCAAAAAGAAAATTCGGCTGACATCATGGAAAACTGCCATCAGAGTTAAGCAAAATTTGAAATATCTACTTCTCCTTTCTATTCTTTCTTCTTTCTTCTTTCTATAGGACATTCATTGCAATCAGCTTTGATGGAGGAATAACTGAGCCTCCGTGTATACAGACAGATCATAAAGTGGAGAACTGGGCTATTGAAATACTGAAGTTTTCCCCAAAAAGTTTTGCCGTATTTATTTATATATTACAAAGTAAAATAATAATGTCTTCCTTTCAAAAAATACATGTCAATGTGCTTTAATTTATTCTCATAATTCTCCATATGAAATTTGCAGATACGTGAAGATTAACTCAACATATATTTCAAAAGGTTAATTCTTCAGTAGTTTTAATCTAGGCTTATGTTACATATAGAAAATAGTAGGAAGAGGTATAGTTGCTTACAAGGATGAAAGGATGAAAAATATGGCAGCTTTTAGTATAATCCCTTCATACATTCTAAATCACTACATGTATTCACCAACAGCTAAATGAAATCACTTTACACATTCACCAGTTTTTATTCAGAAACTATTAAATTCAAGACATCTTGTGTCTTCTGAATATAATTGCAAAGGTACATAAATATAATCTTATTCTTCAGAAACAACATTTCGCCAAAAAGATAAAATGTAAGCTTATTTGCAGCAAAGATATATTTGCTACTTGCTGGCCCACATAAGCCACTTATTACATATTTACTGAATGAGTATATAAACCATAAAATCAAGTAATTTTAATATAACATAGGATATAAGCCACAAATGTGATTAATTCTTATGGGATTTCAGAGGAAGGGGTACCACTGTTAGCTGAATGATCAGTGAAGAACTCATGGAGTTGTATGAGCTGATAAAGATTTTAGTCAGGCAATAGTTCAAAATAGGGCATTGTTTGGTAGGCAGAAACAAAAGAGGAAGTCTCAGAGAGAACAAAAAGAACAAGACTATGTAGGGGTGGGGTATAAATACAGAATGGGGATAAGGGGCATCCAGAAGATCAATTTTGTTTGAGTAGATGGAGCAGTAATGGGAGAAAATGGATTGGAGTCAGATTACAAAGGCCTCAGTTGTTACACTGAGGACCTCACCCCTTATTCTGAAGACCAGTGTTTTCCATGTCTCCTAGAGTGCTCTTCTATTGCTAAATTTCTTGAGCACTCACCACCATAAATGTAGGTTTATATATTAAAATTTTATAAAGTATATATGTTATATGGTCCATCTAACCTATCCTTTATGTATATACACACAGATGTACATACATGAACACATACTACAAGTAGACATTTTTAAGTGTCGACTAAGTGTGACATGTCTACTACAGTTTTTATCCACATATGGTAAATGTATTTAGTTATTTTTGTACGTATTTGCTTACTACATATCATCTGTATTCCCTGTTGAACTGTAATCCTTGTAAGAGAAGGAAACATTTTCTTGTTCTTTCTGTATTGCAAGTGCCTAGTGCAGAATCTGACACAGAGTAGGTGCTTATTAAATATTTGTTTCATGAAGAAATCTGTTGAACAACTGACTGATCAAATTCATTTTGAGGTGAGAATAATCTGGAGCCATCAAACATTCTTCATATTTCCCACTAGAGACTATCTATATATCATGTATTATAAACATTAACCCTCAATCTTGAAACTATCAATGATAGACTCCATATTAAAGAAAAGATGGGAGAAACAAGGCTGTCCCATCTTGAGTATAATGCTAAAATGTTCTCTTTTCTTTAACAGCTTTATTAACATATTTATTAATATACAGTACATTACACACACTCAATGTGTACAATTTGATGATGGACATATTCATACACCTGTGAAACCACCACCAGAAATCAAGGTAATGGATATACCTATCACCTCTAAAAGTTTCTTATGTCCTTTTATTTGTTATTTTTGGTGTGTGTATCTGTGTGTGCGTGTGTGTGTGTTTAGAACACTTAATGAAACTTTCTTAATATAGTTCCCATTTCTACAAACTAAAGACATAGCGATTCCTTCCACAGATGTATTTAAAAAGGAATATAAAATTCCATTTATAATTTATTCATATAAAATAAGGTATCTCAAAATGATTTTTTTTGGACTCCAAGGATTCCCAATAGGATCTTTAGTGGCTTTTCTGGGACAAGGTTTAGAAAAATGTGTTTGAGGAGAGTGACTACAGACTGCTATTTCAACTAGCCATCTCCAATTTTCTCCTTTAATATGGATACTTTTTGTTGGATACAATTTGGGGGAAAAAAAGGGCTCAGGCAATTAACACAATGTTTTTTAAAACCAATAATATAAAGGTGTTTAAATCCTGTAGAAATACAATAGAACTAATTAATAACTGTGAAATCTAAAATGAATCGTAATCTTTTTGTCATATTGGTTTGTTTACATATTGGCACCTACTCCTCAATCTATGGTATTGCTGCTGAAACTAGAGTAAAAAGAAATAAAACTAATACTATAATCAAAGATGCTTTTACCCTTAAAAGTTGTTGGTGATTATTCTTTTTTGTCTTCCCAAGTCCATCTCCTCCCCTTTTCTACTTATCACCTGGTCTTCCTTGTTAGTTGGCATCTGGTCAAGGTCAACCAATGGGACACATTGGAGGGAAATGAGACCATGGGAAGAGAAGAAAGTCATAGTTTATTTTCCAGTTTCTACCTGCTTTCACACTGCATGTCTAGCAGTAGCTGCATCTGTCTCTTGGTTCCCTTTTCCACAGCTCTAGTAGTCACTGGATTCTTTTCCTTCTGTTCACGTCCTAGCAGGTAACAACTTTCCACTGTTGCTATTCTCTGGGTCTTCACTATTTCTTTGTCTACTCCTTTGCTCCTCTCACACCTCTGTAACTAATTTATTGTCTCTTTATTTGAGCCATCTGGTAAATGACATTCCCTACCATTTCCTTGGCTGATAAGTTGGAGCCTATTAAAACATTAAAAACTAAAATACAGAAAATTAAAATAATGGTCATTAAAATGTTTTACTGTTGATTCAACCTTGTTTACCATGTTTCCAATATATCATACCATACATTCTTTTTGCCAAAAACAAGAACTACTCTATATTCTTATAGACTATGAGCAAATTAAAACTAAAGAAAGAGTTCATATAATGTTATGTAAGTGAATGTCCAGAAAAATTATTACTTCATTGTAAATAAATTTTCAGAACTCTCCATTCTGCATTGCGTGCAAGCCGGAAGGTGACAAGACCATATAACTCACCTCACAAAGCCAGAGAAGACTAAGGAAATACCCTCAAAAAAGTTCAAAGAGTAAATTTATATATGTGCACATGTTCACTTACTACTAAAAAAGCAGAATATGTTATTATCAGAGGCCCAAGAGACTAGTTAATGACTAGTAGTAAAATATTTTTGCTTAAGTGTCCGCTACTGTCTATATTTCAGCAAAAAGCATAGCTGGCAAACACCTTAATAATCATAACTAGCATTTACTCTTAAAAAATGTTGTATCAAGAAACCCTGAAAAAATGTATAACATGAACATGAAGAAACTTTAATAAGACAAAATAAATGAAGACTTGTATGTTTTGAACATATTCTTGAAAAGAGATCATAGAAAGTTTCCATAGAGCTTTTTGGAAAACATTGACTGGTTATTTTTATGTAGCTGAAAAAAAAGCACGATATTTTACAAAGGAATAAAGAAAATTGTCTTGCAATGAGTTTTAAAGAAAATCTTGTTTTGAGAGAAATGTTCAGCAATCCACTCTATTATTTTAGGCATCTTAAAGGAATATCCACAAAATTAATTGATGTTAAAAACAAAAGCAATCATTGAATATATACTGTGAGTTAAATAATTATAGCACGATCATCTCTGAAAATCAGAGGGAAATGTCATCTAGATCCATCATTAGTGAATAGGCAGGACATGTTCTCAGGTCAAAGAGTTGAAGTAAACTAGATTGCTAAAGTAGTGTCTTCTGCCTGTCCTGAATTTACAGAATAAGCATCAAAGAATCCAAAACAAAACAAAACAAAAAGGAATGGTTTAGGGAAATTTTTGTCTCTGTCAAGTAGAATCACAATTCTGAAATAACAAAACATATCTGTAGTTTCTTTAGTGATGCATGTGAAAGACAGCTATGACTATAAGAAATGCATAAGAAATAGCAGTATCCTGCCCATAGTCTACCCACACCAAAGAGAAAGAGTTGGGATCAGAGGTGAACTTGCCTCCCCGCACAGTTGTATGGCCGAATGGCCAAGACCACCAGACACTGTGAATACAGGAGATGAAAGATTGTCACAAATATCGCCAAATTCAGGAAAGCATCAGTGGCTGATGAAATGACATCATGAGTCACATTTGAAATCCAGAGCTCTCAGAAGCATGATTGATTGGAGAACAATTGTTCATACATGAGAAAAAGATATGTATTCAAAGAGAATTATAAACACAAACCTCATGAGCTACTGAAACCATGATGACATTTTGCAATTTGATAAGGCTATGTTCTTCTAATTCTGCAGTAATATTTTTCTCCATATATATGATAAATTTGTTAAAGTCATCACTTTATGCTACTTCCTAATTGTGACATGATCCCTTGGTACTTACAATCTGGCTCTCACTATGACCAATCAATTGAGAATTCTCAGGAAACCTGCAAATTCTCTTTGCAATATGCAACCTGATTTACTACCACTTCCACTTATACTTTTTCTTCCTTTGGAACTGATGACATGGTATACCCAGGTGTCTCTTCAACCATGCTTTCCCTGACACCTTTCCTTTGCTCATCCTCCAGATGTCAGGATGTCTACAGAACAGACATTTTCATCAGAGTATCAGCTGTAGGTTTTGGGCCTCAAGACATGAGGGGAAACTGTTCTACATTGTTAGAATTCCATCATCTGCCAATTCCTCAAATTATCTTTGAGATAGTTCTCAGGTCCTTCCTTCCTTCCTTCCTTCCTTCCTTCCTTCCTTCCTTCCTTCCTTCCTTCCTTCCTTCCTTCCTTCCTTCCTTCCTTTCTTTCCTTCTTTCTTTCTTTCTTTCCTTCTTTCTTTTTTGTTTTTATTTATTTTATTTTTTTTGTGTGTGGAGTCTCACTCTATAGACCAAGCTGGAGTGCAGTGGCACAATCTCAGTTCATTGCAATCTCCGCTTCTGGGGCTCAAGTGATTCTAGTGCCTCAGTCTCCCAAGTAACTGGAACTATATAGGTGCGCACCACCACACCCAGCTAATTTTTTGTATTTTAGTAGTAACAGGGTTTCACCATGTTGCCCAGGGTGATCTTGAACTCCTGAGCTCAGGCAATCCACCCACTTTGGCCTCCCAAAGTGCTAGGATTACAGGCATGAGCCACCATGCCTGGCCCAGTTCTCAGGTTTTTTTTAAATCAGAAAAAATGAAACTTTGCCTATAATGTTCTTACTTTGGCACAGTCTTATTTGTTTCAATGTGGAGTGTGTGTGTGTGTGTGTGTGCACAAAAAACAGTCACAGGCAAATCCTTAGGCATATCAATCAGAGCTTTTCAACTCAGAATATTTCTGTGATGCACATATTTATTGTAAAATTATATGTTATGTACTAGTATGGGGATTTGCTAATTATGTTAGAAATAATACTTATTTTCTACAAGTTACAAATGTTTTACCTCAGAAATAGTTAAGTAACAATGCAAAGTTAATGGACAATTATGATTAGCTGAAGAAAGTTTACTTCCTACCGCAAATAAATTACTATTGATAAGAAACCTTCTTCCTCAGCATACAGACTTGCTTGCAAGATTTGGTCACTTTCTTCTTTTTTCATAGGAGACTTAGTTATTGGTTTGTATGGTTTCCTTGGAACACAAAACATTGTCCAAAATTACTTTTTCTACCAAGTCTAGCAGTTATCAGCTGCAACGTTGTTTATATACTTTGAAAGCTACTATAAACACCTGTCCTCTTTCCCAACTCTTCACCTTATAATTGCCTTGGGGACTCTCCTATTCCCTTTATGTCCTGAGTTTGAATTCTTTAGTAATCCCACTGAGTATGTGCTGCTATATGAAATGCCATGTTGTTATTAGAAGGAACCAGTTGATGATGAAGACATGAGTCCCCAAGAAGTTCAGAGATTTGCTTGGCTTAGACAGGGAATAAGAGAGTAAACCAGAACAGTGTCAGCTGACAGATTTGGTGTAGTGCATCTCTTAGCCCTCATAGTGTATTAAACTAAAAATATCTAAACTTAAGATCTATGCTAAATCAAGTAACACTTGTATTTTATTCTCACATAAATAGGTAGTGGTAGTTACCAATATTTTAAGAAAGATTTTCAAAGAAAACATTGAATTGGAAAAACTTAATACCTATTTTTCCAATAAATTGGGGGAAAACATTAACTTTAGCACTGAAACAAATGGAACCTTAAGGAAAATTTTTAGAAAAGAGCTTGCAGACTTCTATACTATATCACAAAGTAATAAAACCACAGAATATATGGGATGAATCAGAGCTTATACATTATTTATACAAATCCTTTAATTTTAGGAATATGAAAAATGGGGCTCAGATAATTGGGTGAATTTCCAGGTTCTATAACCACATATAACCGAATTGAGACTCTAGAACGTGCGTATTCTGATTGCTCATTCCGCACAATTTTGCCTACTCAAGAGTCTCTTCTGCCTCTTCTTTCATGAAAATAACTTTTTTTCTAAAAACCTCCAAGAAGTATGAAATATTACAGGTTTCACGGTTAAAAAGTTGAAGTTCTAAACTGTTTTTAATTAGTATTTGATTTACCACCTTTTTATGGTCCTTATCCAGTTATTTCAATATATTTTTAAAAGAAAATAAAAACTCTTGCTCAG